CATCTTCCATGTACAAGTACCACGTGGGGAGTTTGAAAGGTTTTCTTTATATCCTAATGCAAAGATTTGTGTGTAGTTCTAGGAGGTTTTATGCCTATGGACTCTTCAGATGATATAAAGAAGCTGCTGAGTAATGTGGTTTTGGGGAACCTGTCCCCTGGATGTGTGGGTCTTTTCATGCCATACCATAAAAGCGGTTGACAACAAGCAGTTGTTTCACATGTAGAAAAAGCTTGAAAGGAAATATTCCAGTGAAACCCTTTCTAGACTGAATATTCTCCCTTAGCTTTTCAAAGCCGTGGTCAGCATGGTTAGAACCTTGCTTTACTATTCTTTTTTCTTTTTTTTTTTTTTTTAAAGTTATTTAATGTATTTCATGGGTTTGTTTCCATCGTGTTTATTTCTCATGTGACTTAGGAAAAAGAATTGATCAGAGTCAAAATAGGATGCATTGGCAGCATTGCAACAATTATATTTTTATATCTGAGTAATTGAGATGATACAGAATGTACTTGTACAGTATTTGGTACTAGTATGTGCCAATACCTTTCTTTATCTTCCTGCCCCCCATCCCTCCCCATTTCATTACACCCAAGAGAGTACTTTGGATAAGTGCACTAGGGTATTGGTCAGCATGGAGTTCCTGAGTGGTACAAATGATTAATATGCTCGACTGCTATCCAAAAGGTTGGAGGTTCAAGTATACCTAGAGGTGCCTTGGAAGAAAAGCCTGGCCTTCTACTTTCGAGAAATCAGCCATTAAGAACCTTATGGAACACAGTTCCAGTCTGACACGCATAGGGTCACCATGAGTCAGAATTGACTTGACAGCAACTGTTTTTTTGTTTTTTTAATTGGTCAGTGTAGTCATTTCTGAAGTGTGGCACAGCTGAGTGTAACGTCGCTTATGATGTCTGCAGGCCACGGCCCCAGCTCCTGAGGTTCCGATCCTTTCTTTCCTCCTGATCTCCCTGCCACTGCTCCCAGCTCAGGACAGATTGGAGGCGCTGAGCTGACATGTTCATCATCCCTGGGTTTCCCTTTGCAGCCACGCCAAGGAAAAGGGGTGCTGACGTCCACATCAGCATCTTCCCAGCATGCCTCTGGGCCATAATCCTCAAATAATGCACGTCTCCAAGCTGTAGTCTATCTCATATGTTCCAGGAATGATGGTTGATTCACTTTTTTGAGAGTCTGTTCCTAGATTAAAACTTCTGAAGATTCTCCACCTTTTTGAAGCACGATAAGCTCCTGTATAAGGAGCCCTGGTGGCATAATGGCCAAGCATTTGGCTGCTGACTGAAAGGTTGACAGTTCAAACCCACCCAGCCACTCCACGGGAGAAATACCCAGCAACCTGCTCCTGTACAGTTTACAGCCTAGGAAACCCTACAGCACAGTTGTATTATGTCACATGGGGTTGCTGTAAGTTGAAAATCAACCTGACGGCACCACCACAAACGAAGTTTCGGTGTTTATCTTCAGCCTCACTCTCTTTCTTCCCTTCCTTCCTTGTCTGTGGAGAATTGTCAGAACCCAAAAGTAAACGAATGTTTTTGAAATGGTTTCATTTTGTGAAAGCAGGCACATTTCTAAGCAAAACGCCATGCCTGCATTCACTGTTAATAACTAATGTGTGTGCTCCAGACTGAAGTTGCCTGTTCTGTATAGAAGAGTGGGTGTGGATTTGGTGGGGTGGGAGCCTGAAGACGAGACAGAATATGAATGAATCCACATAGAAATAGTCAAAGGTTCCAATCCTCTGGGAAGAAGAAGAAAACTAACAAAACCCTCATGTGCTATATTTTATCTGTTATGTCTGCTGAGAAATTAGGGTCAGGACCCAGAAGCTTTGCGTTCTCTCCTGGTGTTTGTTTCAGCTCAGGTAGAGTGGGCTTTCCCATTGATGGGTCATTTCCTTCTCTCTGTTCGTATTCCAAGTTGCATTAAGATGACAGATTTCACTTATAGACTGGGGCACCTACATGAAAACTTGAGCTATTCATTCAGCTAACTGAGTGAGTGCAGATAAGCCAATTTGTTGTGGAGAGAAAGGGAGTGTTTGAAGAGAGCCCAAAAGATTTTGAGAGCCCAGCTCTGCAACAGAGCTCACACATCATGGCCCAGACCCTGCCCCCAACCAGACTCAACGTTCTTAAGCCTCATTACAAGCCTCAAGGGTAGAAGCAAAATGTTAGTGTGGTGGAGACACTTCTTTAACACACACACACAACACGGAATATGGTGCTTGCAGATGAAACTTTATTTTGGAGATAATCTGATCGTGCATTTTACAGAGATATTTAGGGTGAAATAAAGGTCTTGTCTTCTTTTCTGTCTGTGCAATAAATACTTCTCTTCTCCCGCCCTGTCTTTAGTTGGGAAAAAAAAATCTTGGACGGCAAAAAGCAAGCCCATTACATCAAACATGACTGCGTTAAATACTAAAATGTTCAAAGTCCGATTGAGATGGATAAAGGCTTTGATGGAAAGTAGATATTTCCCAGGGACATTACAAGCAATAATCCAGATGTCATGGTGTAATGCAACGAGTGTCCGCGGATAGATCAGGAGTTCCAGCCAAGCCAGGCCTGATATAGGCCTCCGCCTGCCCTCCCATGCTGTTCTGCCATATGGAACCCATCTCTAAGCCCCCTTAATAACCAGCTTTGGATTCCATTTTCACAGAGCTCATAGAGCTAAGTGGGGCTGTTTTATGGACAAGTTAGATAGAAGCCTTTCCAAGATAAACATCCAATTTGAAATTAGGACATACCAAGCCACAGAATTATTTTAGGGCATATTTCATGGAAGTGCTGCCATTTTTCTTAGGCAGTTGCCAGACTGTAGGATGCCCTTTGATCCCTTGTGGACATTACTCCCTTTTTTATAAAAAGGATTTTGAAATAGTTGCAGTGTTTAGGGAGGAATATATCTGTCGGAACTTTGAAGCATGGCCATGGGATAGGTCATGTTTTAGCTTTTTGGTGTGTAAGTCAAACTTTAAGAAGAAGACCATAAAAAAAGGAATTGCAGCAGGAGATAGGAATCAAAATCTGATTTTCTTTTTAAAGATAGGAGTTTTTAGCCTATGTGCCTAATAAGCTATCAAATGTATTAAATATATCTTCATCTCTATACACATATATAGATATATACACGTAGAATACATGTGTTTGTATGTTTCCTGAAGGTTTGTGTTGTTTTTAAGAAAAATAAAATTGCCGACTTTTAACTATTTCATAAACCTTCATTATTGACTGTATCCTATCCAGAGCTCTACCGCAAAGAAGAGTTAAGAAAGAATTGTTCATGTTCACCATAAGAGAGGCTGTTTTATTGGTTTGTTTATTTTTGTTTTATTAATCCATTCCCTATCTGCCCTCTCTGCTCAGTATCAGTATCTGTGTGTGTGTGTATGTGTGTGTGTTTCAAGAGAAAATCAATACAGATACGCAGTTTGGGAGTATGCATTTCCTTCAGTGTATTTTGTTTAAGGTTGTTAGAAAATTGCCAGCAAAACACCTGGTGTGGCATTGTTGCAACATTTATCAAGAGTGATAGAGTGATGTGTGCAGGATGAGGTAAGCCGGTATATAATTAATATGGTACTGACATGCCATTTGTCGTGATAAATTGTGACTAACTGGTGTCCAAGCAAATTGGTGTCTAAATGATCTCGAAGATATATTGAGCGGATGACAGGAATGAATATATAGTGTTAGAAATTCATGGCTTTACTATGATACGCAATGCCATTTACATTCTTCAGCCCACTTATTTCCCGTTCAAATAAAGAAGTCTGTGCTTGCACCACTTTACTTACTGAATGGAGAATGGAAATGAACTCCGCCAGCTAAATGCAGCGTGTGGATCATATGGGGAGCTTAGCTCAAACTAACTAAGTATAAAAAAGACATTATTGACACCGTCAGGGAAATTTAAATATGGACTGGGTATTCTATGATGTTAAGGAAATTATTGGCATCATGCAGATTGTTATGTAAAATCAAATATAGATTTTTGCTTTGAAACATTTCAGCAAGAAAAAAAATAGTGAAGGGATAAATGAAATGAGACTGGCAAAGTGTTGAAACTGGTGAATAGTACATAAAGATTTATAGTATTCTTCTCTCTACCTGTTTGCAAATTCATGTAGTGGAAATTAAAAACAGAGTCTATCCTCTTTAGTGAAAATGCTATGGTGCACAGTTCTACCCTGAACACAGGGTCACCATGAATCAGAATCGACTTGATGGCAACTTACAGCAACAACAATCCTCTTTATAATTTAATATTAGGGGATGTTTGCCTTTTTCTGTATTCTGTTTACGGTGTGTGAGCGTGTGTGACTAATACAATTTAGAAAAGGTAAAAATCAAAAAACAAAAACAAGTTAACAGGTACTGAACCCCCTACCAGTTCCAGCTCAGCGAGAGGCACTTTTTACACTCCCCTCCCCAGATCTGCAAAGCTGCTGATTGCAGGCAGTATCTGGAGTTGTGGATCTCACCATGGTGTTGGACTTTTTAGGAGAAGCAAAGGAATAACGGAATGTGGGGACAGATTCAAACGTGAAGGATAATTTGAAAGCCATAGTTTCTGAAAGCCTGGAGGTATTTTGTTTTCTGACAAAGCAATACCTTGTTCTTATATCTCTGTTCCCCAGAATGCCTTTCTTCCTTTCCTACTATTAAAATAGCCAAAGGCCCAGTTTCAGGATTCTTACCAAAGAGCTCATCTCGGTGGGAGGACAGGTCACTGCCAAATACAAGCATTGCTCATACCCATCCTGCGCTATATCGTTACAAGCCCATGGCTTGAGCAGGGAATCACATAGCTGTGATTGCACGTTTGCAAACCAATGAAGAGTAACACTTCTCACCAGGCAGGGAGTAATATTTAAAATCAAATATTGAAAGCTGGAATTCCTCTGATCCCCAAAGTCACACTCAAGAATTGCCAGCAAGTTTATATGTCATCTTTGTTTTTTGCTTTAGTCCTGTTTGATACGCAACCTTCGGCTCTCAGAGTCCTTGAGAAAGAACCAACTGTGGAACGGGATTATAAGTATAACTTTGTTGGAAGGGAAGAATGTCTCAGGAGGAAGCATGACAGAAATGTTTGTTCAGTTAAAACTGGGAGATCAGAGGTATAAAAGTAAGGTAAGTTCTGTCAATTCTGTAAGGAGAACAATATCTTTAAGAATAAAAGAATTAGAAAAAAATGCTTTCCCACTCTAAACTTCACGAGAATTGAAGTAAATTATTTTTAACCTTCCTAACTATATTTAGGAATGTCCCAGAAAACAAATGAATTGCGTACATACAGTCAATTAATATGAGTATTGTTTTGATGGCTTAGTATAATTTATTTTAACACAGTAACTCAGAACTCAAGAAAGCTTATTAAATAATGGATTTGAATGTATGGTGCATTTAAACTTTGTAAAAAAGTAAACTGTGTTTTATAGACCGTAGGAAAAGGATAGCTAAATGTTTTCAAAATCCTACAAAAATAAAATATTATAATACATTATATTTGCATTAAAAGATCTGAGATAGCTAAAGTATCTTCAAAATTATATACTCTTTGGTTTCTCTTATTTGCTAGTCTTAACATTAAAAATAAATATTTATTGCTGCTGGGTTTTGCTGTGATTTTTTAAAATAAATTATGTAAAGTATTTAAAGTGATTTGTTTTGAATAAAAGTCATTTTTAACTCTCTTTAAAAATTGGTCATCATCTTCTGCCAATTCAAATTCCATTTCATTTTTAATCTTACTAATTTGGTGGGGTTTTTATTTCAAAAACTCTAGTCTCCAAACCATGGTAATTAATTAGTTTTACATAACTGTCAGACAGGAATATTTCCTATGTTTTACGGATTGAGGGAGCTGGGGTACTTGACAGTTAAGTCACTTGCCAAAAGCCACATAGAGAAAGAAATCAGTGGAAGGTTTGAAAACAGACCAGAGGATATTTGCAGTTCGGGCTTTGCAGACTAGAGGACATAACAGATGCAGACGAGTTAGAAAGTGATTTAGAGAGGCAAGAAGACTTCTCGGCTGCACAATTTTCTGTGCAATATCAAATATTAGACTTCATTTACTCCAGCACAAAGGGGTAGAGAATGGAGATGCATGGCGAAAAATAGTTTATAAGAAATATGAAAAATCGAGGGTGAGTTACACTGGAAATATTAGATAATTATTTTAACTAGGTAGTTTCAGGCTGTACCTCATAGTGAGTGTATCCACGGTAACCACATCTGTACACTAAGATTCCTTGAGTCAGCCAAGGTCAGGCTAAGAATTTACGGAAAAATTATTCATCGCTAAGCACACTTAGCCCCTTGGACTAAGGTCAAGTATAGAATTAGTCCAATATCTGCTGCATTCCCCTTTTAGGAATACTGCATTTAATTTTGTGGTCTAATAGGGTTTTCCCCACCCGCTGCCTCCCGGTTTCTAAATTCTGTGATCTGATGTAAAAACAGCCTATATTATTTTATGTGACATTGGCTACCGCGGAGGTCTGCATTGTCAATGTTTTCCTGCGCAGGCGTAGATGGTGTTAGGATTTCACAGTTGATGCTGTGACCTTAGAGCCTGCTACACAATGGCCAACGTTTTGTTCACGTTTTATTCCCAAGTTGAATCTCTGTCAAAATAAAGTACAAATGAGAAGTCTGCCAATGAACCAGACACATAAGCAGTTTGAAATAACTCTCGGAGAACACAGAAACACTTGTGGAAGCTTCAAGTCACTCTTGTTAATTTTTAGTTGTGACTGTGATAGAATTTTCCTAGTCTTCCTCCCACTGTAGTAACGGGATTCAGTAATCTCAGGTTTAAAAATAAGCAACAATGTACATGTTATGGATTTCTCACTTACTGCATCTGGCAGATGTTAATTAAGACCCCAGACTGTTAATTTATATAGTTCTTAAGTCAGCATTGAATGGATATGCCTATAAAAATGTTACGTGCGTTTGATTAACCAATTTCGGTTATCTTTGGTAGGGAAGAATCATTGTAAAATGTCTATTGATATATGGTTTCTTGTGAGGTAGCAGTATGCCTTCTAACTTGGTTCATAAATTATTGAATCTAGGGGACAGTTAAAGAGTAGTGATGTTTTTGAAAATTCCGGAACATTCGGAAGTCTCTTTCTTTCCGAAAAGGAAAGTGTAAGTTGTGAGGGGTGTGGTACATCATCTTGACTCCCCTTATAGTTTTAGAAATGAAATGAATGTGTAGCTGCTGTAGCGATGACTAACGTTTTAAGAAAATAAATATTATAACTGCATGTTTTCTAGACACTGTGTAAGAGTGCAAATCCCCAGTGGCGGGAACAGTTTGACTTTCACTACTTCTCTGACAGGATGGGCATTTTGGACATTGAAGTGTGGGAAAAGGACAGCAAAAAGCACGAGGAGCGTCTGGGCACGTGAGTCTGCTCTGCTTTCTTCCCGGTGGGCAACGTGCGTGCAGCTAGTCTTTGCATGGGGCTGGTTTGGGGAAAGCGTCTTTATCTGTTTGTGCTGAGAGTAAACCTTACCATCCTCATCCAAGGAGCCATCAGAAAATAGGACGGCCATTCCTGTTTTTTTTTTTGTTTTTTTTTTTTAGTTTAGTTAAAAAAAAAAATGTTGGTAAATGTTATTCAGCATTGATTAAATCAGAAGAAATTGCTATGTGTGAGGAATCCTCTAAAGAAAGATAATGTCCCATCTCAGACTCTGGGAAGTATTTACATAAATGATCGATACACCTTTTAATTTTAGTTTGGCTGCTTAGTAAGGTATCATATAATTTAGCGGGGTTATTGGGCTAGGTGTCTCAAATGAGGGCAACTTTTCAGTATATTTTGATGAATTTTGTGGCCAAGCGTAATGAAATCTATTGAGACCAAACCTATTTTCTTAACTTTGGATTCTCTCATTTTATTTGAGGGACTTACCCATATATAAAGCAAAAAACCAGTTGCCATTGAGTCAGCTCCCACTCATGGAGACCTCATGTGTGTCAGAGCAGAACTGTCCTCCATAGGGTTTTCAGTGACTGATTTTTCAGGAGTAGATCACCAGGCCTTTCTTCCGAGGTGCCTCTGGGTAGACTCAAACCTCCAGCCTTTCAGTTAGCAGCAGAGCTCCTTAACTGCACCACCCAGGGACTCTCCCATATATAACTAACAATAATATAAGTATTATAGCTACCTTGTAAGGTAGTGGTAAGAAATACAATTAAATGAGTGGCACATGCACCGTGAAAATGCTGATGGAAGCTCACTCCGTCTCTGCTCCTTAGAATCGCCCTGAGAGTGGCATTATTCTCCTTTTACAGATGAGGAAACGGAACTCAGGAGGTTTACATACAACTCAGCCCCAAACAGAAGAGCAGCGAGTGGGAGTCAGGATTCTATCTATTTTTAAAGACCAAATTTTTTCCACCAAGCTCCTGCCTTTTGCTTATGCCATATACATACAATTTGTATACCAATCTTAAATTTAGAACATAAGTGCTTGAAGGGATCTCAACAACTGTTGGTCTAGTCTTTTTCAAACCATGTTCTCTGGGACCGAGGTCTAAGGAGACACCATGGGTCACCCCCTGGGGAGTGTGACAACCCTGCAGCCAGATTACCCCAATGTTGCCTGTGCCATATAAGGTCGCTATGAGGCAGAATCGACTCGATGGCAATGTTGTTGTTGTTTTGTTTTTTTTAAACTTTGGGATTCACACAAAATTCCTTTTGAGGAAATAGTATTCGTGCTGATGATTAAAGATTGAAAGCCATTCATCTGGTGTGACCCTTTCATTTTACAGATGAGGAAACACAGAGGCATAGGGAGGTGGCATGTTTTTCCAGAAGTAAGTTTAGAGGCAGAAATAGGACCAGAAGCAGCTCATGCAATACCTTGTGTAGTGCTTTTTCTATGTGAAGTACTTAGCACAGTGCCTGGCACACAGAGTGTCAGCTGTTTGTGATCTCATCACATTGTCCTCCTGAGGTAGATGGGTGGGGAGTTTGGTACCCTAGGGACATTCTAGCCATTTCTCCACTGAGGCATTGTGTTGCGTGGGCTGTCTGGCACGTTGCAGGAGGTTTAACAAACCTGACTCTCATGCACCCAATGCTAGCAACTATACTCAATTGTTGTGTGAAAATAGTAAATACACACACCTACAAACACAAACAGCATACCCAAATTCCACTGCACCTGGCCAAACAGTCCCCTCATCCCCAAGTCTGTACTTATCGAGTAGGTAGTAGTCATTGCTTCGTTGACAATCTCCAAGGCCAGGTTTGTGCATTTAGCTGGCAAACCAGACCAGACAGCTCCAGCTCTTCTAGGAGGTCAGGCGTTGCACAGCTGTTGTTGCTCACTTAGTTACTAGTTTGACCATGTCACTCCCTATTCCACCCACACGGAGTAGCTGAGATGTCTCAGGTGCTTCTTGGTACTTCAGACACTTGTCACTCTGTGACATACCTGGGCGCCACCAGCACTGATGGGAGGAGAACCAGGAATTTTGTGCTCGCCTGTGGAGCAATGATAAGTCACACAAATGCAGAGAACTCTGTGTCCCCAAAGCGTTATCTAACAGTGGGAATACGGCTCCCCGTGATGGATGGCCAACGTGTTCTTTCAGGAGGTGCAGAGAATAATGCCTTTCATTTCACGTGTCACTGTGCTGTCACATTTCCTTTACATAATAGGAAACACTTTTCCAAACGAGTGCTAGGTTACCTCGCAGAGAACAAATAATCATTTCAGATGTCCCTTTTACTCAATGTTTTGGCATTTGGGTATTCATTATTATTTTAGCTATTTCCTGTTTGTAACTTAGAAATATACCAGCACTTGTGATCATTCTGTCCTTCCTATTCATGGCTTCTAAAGGATTTTTTTATTTTTTTGGTATCCTTTTCCGTTTTCCTCTCCTGAGGTGCAAAAGATAACAGAGTCTTCCCTTGGGAGCTGGCTACACGGCATTACCCTGCAGCTAACGTCCAGGTGGATGGAGCAAACCCTGCTCTAGAATATATGCTGCCGTTTAGACCTGAAGGCGCTACTGTGCTCGTGTATACCTATCACTGAAGCGCCATGCTGAACACTCTTCCTTCTTCCGTAGTTACTTTTTACACGTTTCAATATTTCCGTTTTCCTTGTTGTCATAATTTTAAGGCTCGGTTGTTTTATTTTTCAACGGTTGGGAAAAAGTCTTTTTGCGTTAGCAAGTTCTTAATGTGGATCCCAAGGTCTGTCTCATACTTTGTTTTTGAAGAACACCTTATCGATAGTAATCTAAAGCTTTATGTACCCTCTCTGAGGACATTCTTGTCAGTGAAGCTTCCCCTCAAAGGCAGTGTGATATGAGGGAAGGAACATCAGCGTCTGAGCCATCCTTGTCTTGCTTGAATCCACACGTTTTGCTAGCCATGTGGCCTTTGGCGGCGAATTCACATGGGAAGCCTGGGCGTCAATCTGTGAAGTGGGGTCAATGCCCAACTTAAAGGGTCGTTGTAACTGTCAGCAATCATGTCTGTTTGATACCTAGGTCTTTTTGAGTACTCAGGTGGTAGACAGTATTATTATTATTGGTTTTGTGATTTTTCTGCATAGCAACTGTAGATCCCCATGCAAATTTCAAGCAAAATTGTGTAATGTAAATAAACAAAATATAACTAGTAAAGTCCACCATATTACCTTCCAAACAGTATCGACATTTTCTGTGTCTTTTGATAGAGATGAGATGCAAAAACACGTTTGAGAACATGGTAGGAAGGACATCTGTTGACTGAAGGATTGAGCAGTGCAAGATAACCTGAACAATACTGGGGTTTGGTAGCTGTGGAAGAAAAGGCTGGGTCAGCGTGGTTGGATATGTGAAGAGATACCACGCTGGCATTGAGTTGCTCGGTGGCTGATGGTTAAAACATGGTCCTGCTGGGCAGCCAGTCTGCTCAGGCTCTCTTGAGTCATATGGAGCTCCCTAACTTCCCCTTTGGCGATGGTCCATGCAAAGATTTTCACTGAGCCTCATATAACTGTTAAGGAGGTTGGGGCCTATGTCATGAAGGTGCTTGAACAGATCCATTAAACCCAGAAACATGGTGCATATTAACTCCAATGTCTCTTCATGAGAAAAACAACCCAAAACAAAAAAAAAAAAACAGAAAGTTTGATCTGAGTCCACCAATGGTCCAGTATAAGAGGTAAAGCTAAATTTAACCTGATTCAACTTTGAAACGAATAGCAATAGTATGAATACACATTGTTCCATTGTGGTGTTGTGCTTGTTAGCTGATGTCCAGTTGGCCTCCAACTCAAGAGGGCCCCTTGCACAATGAAACACTGCCTCATCCTGTGTCATCCCCATGATTAGTTGCCAGTATGGTTGACCGTTGTTATTCATAGGGTTTTCGTTGGCTGATTTTCAGAAGTAGATTGACAGGCCTTTCTTCCTAGTCCACCTCAGTCTGGAAGCTCTGCTGAAACCTATTCAAGCATCATAGCAACACACTGACAGACAGGTGGTGACTCTGCATTGGCTGGGAATCGAACCTGGGTCTCCCACAAGGAAAGCAAGAATTCTACCACTGAAAGCCTGTGCCATTTCAGAATGATCATTTTCTTAAAGTATCTTTTGCATTTTAAGATGATTCTAGACACTAACTTTCTATAGAATATTCTGCACTTAATTTTGACTGGAAAGCTTAAGAATGAGAATCCCCAGTCCCGGTTTGACTGTCCTGCCTCCAAATTAGTCTTCAGTCCCAGACAGTGCCCTTATAAAGTGGCTCTGACATTCCACCCGTTTATTAGTGACTTTGAGGCAGGGGAGAGTCTGGGCTGGAGGATTTCTCTGGACAAATTGCTCCCCATGTCGTTGATCTGCTTTTACAGCCAGGCTTGTCACATTCACAGTTCTCTTCCTGTTCACCGCTTCCTTAGCCTCAGAGATTTACAGCTTTTAAAACTCTACCACTCTTCCCTGCCCCCTGCATCTAAGTTAAAAGCTGACCAGTCTGCAATATAAAACATAGAATTATGGTAATGAAGAAAAGGTTAAAAGCTATCGTGACAAGTAAAACTTGAGCAGGTTTGGCTGACTGATACGGTAGAATTATGTGTTGAATTAAAACATTAAAATGCAGTGGGATTAATGGAGAAAGAAGAGAACAGAAGGTCAGAAAGAATGCTAAATCAGCACGTGAGCTGCCTGGGGGCCAGAGAGGCTGGCTTTAGTATACGTCTGTGGCAGAAACAAAATGTAATTGAGTCCCTGTTTTCTTCAGGTAAGTAAAACCATGGAATTTTCAATCCAGGAGGCACCTAGTAAATACATTTATTTCAAAACATTTTTTACATAGGGGACTGTAAGAAAGGCCTGGCAATATTTTGGAAGGTTGAAGGAGGTAACAGTGCCTACATGGAGACT